TTGGACACAGGGGATTGCGGGGCAAATGATGGGCTAAGCCCAAAGGCCCAACTCATGTTATAAGCCCAATTTAAGTTTATAGTCTGACTCCAAGAGATCCAGCAAATTCAGCCCAGTGTGGCCAACTCGATTAAGCTCATCAATGTGGTCAGCTCGGTCAAGCTCAGCAGCTCAAGGAGCTAAGGGAGCAAGCAAGGTCATCCAAAACCCTGGAGATGGTCAACACCTCACCTCATCCTTTGACCGAATCTCATGGAGAGCACCGCAATTGCCTAGCACGTTGAGAAGAACTCGCCAGATCCAACAAACTAGCCAACTACTTACTAATATCTTGCCCAAATCTGTTAGGAGGGCGACTATAAATTGTAAGTCTCATCAACACTTGGGGGGCAGATCATACTTTACCTGAGCACGACTCTCTCCTCTCCCTCAAAGCTTGTACTCTCTGCTCCCCACACCCCTGAGTTAATAAAATACCCGGCAACCAGAGTCATTGAAGAGTGGACGTAAGTTGAGCTGACCGAACCACTATAAATTGTCTGTGTCTCTCCATCTCCTGATATTATTTTCTTACACTTATTATTCACACTTGATAGGTGGTGTGCAAAATTATTTTGTGCATCATCACCCCTAATTGGTTCGCCCCTAACAATTGTTGGGTGCAATGCTGGAGTAAGATAACTAAATAAGCAGAAGAATCTGATGATTATGACAAAAAATCTGATACCTCAACATTATAATCAGAATAGTGTTTTATATACTTTTCAAGTATTCTATTGAATAAAATTTCTATGAAAAACGTTTAGGGGAGGGTTTAAGCACTTTCTAAATCTACTTGTTGACAAGTCAACTATAATAACATCATAATGGGAATTACTTTCCAACAATGTTATATTGGGAATTATTTTTAAAGAAAGTATTATTTTGGACAAAAACTCCACTTTTATGTCCAAAAATTATTTGAATGTACTAGAAGTGTGTCTGTAGTGTATTCATAGTTTTTTTTTCTATGTAAAAGTAATAATGGGACAAACAGAATATATTCACAAATATTTTATATAGAAATATATTATATCATATTTAAATTTTTTGAGAGTCATCCAGGCTCCACCCTTATGTGTGAATCCTTGTGCACGGCTAGAGCTGATGAAGCTGTGTTTGGAACACAAGGTTGTTTCTTCATCAATCCCTCCATGTTACACATCACTCATGAGAGAGAGAGAGAGGGATGCTGCGGGGTGTATTTGTTTGGACCAAAGAAGAAGGATATGCTTATATGGGTGACGAAGCAACACTTTGTTTAATTGTAGGACAAATTAAAAAATTTAATAGGAAAAACAAGTCGTCTGTTGAGGTAAGGTATGGATGAACCCTACCTTGATATAGTAGATGAGGAGGTGGAGAATTCAATGGTCTCCCAATTCTCCTATCATATTGAGAGAGAGAGAGAGAATGATACTAGAGTACTCATGTCATCACAGAAAGTAAGATAACTTAGAAAATAAGTTAAAAATCGCAGTATTTGGAGAATTGATTTTAGGGTGCAATTTCATTTTTAGTTGAATTTCATTCTTTCTACTGAATCTACTGCCAAAAAAGTGTCATCAATGGAAACTTTAAAAGTATAACCTTCAGATCTAGTTCTACAGAACTTTTCTAGCATGTTTCCCTTTCTATTACAAATTTGTACCAAAAAAAAAACATTCGAAAACATTAATGATTGTCAATGGTTGTTCTCGGATTCAAACCCATCAAAGTATTTACTTATATGTATATGAAAGTTCCTGAAGTATTGCAATTGCCTGAAGCAAACACATCAAAATCACGCAATATGTACTCAATTAAGCTAAGACGATCTTTATATAGATTGAAACAATCTGGAAGAATGTGGTATAATGGTTTCAGTGATTACTTGGTAAATGAAGGGTATGTTAACAATCTCATATGCCTATGTGTATTTATTAAGAAATCATAATCTAAATTTGCCATCATTATAATATATGTTGATGATATTAATTTTATTAGAACTTCTGAAGAGTTGATAAATTTGCTGAATATTTGAAAAAAGAATTTGAGATAAAAGATCTTGGAAAAACAAAGTACTGTCTCGACCTGCAGATCGAGCATACATTAAACGAAATTATTATTCATCAAACAACCTATACCGAAAAGGTCTTATAGCGGTTTAGCATGGATAAAGCATATCCATTAAGTACTACAATGGTTGTTCGATCTCTTGATATCAATAAGGACTCTTTTCATCTTACGGAGGAAAATGAAATGCTTATTGGTCCTGAAGTACCATACCTAAGTGCAATTGGTGCTTTGTTATACTTTGCACAATATACTAGACCTGATATAGCATTTGCAGTTAACTTGCTGGCAAGATTTAGTTCTGCACCAACTCGACGACATTGGAATGACGTAAAATATGTTCTATGCTATCTTCGTGGAACTGCAGATTTGGGTTTATTATACTTAAAGCAATCAACCAATGGTCCACAGTTAGTTGGATATGCATATTCTGGATAACTAGCAGATCCTCACAAGGCTCGTTCACAAGATGGGTATGTTTTCACATGTGGTGACACAACGATCTCATGGTGATCTACGAAGTAGACTTTAATTGCTACATCTTCCAATCTTTCTAAAATACTTGCACTCCATGAAGTGAGCAGTGAATGTGTGTGACTAAGGTTTGTAGTCCATCACATCCAAGATACTTGCAAGATTCGTCTTATTACAAATTCATCAACAACCTTATATGAAGATAATGTTGCTTGCATTACACAAATCAAAGGAAGGTCTATCAAAGATGATAGAACCAAGCATATTTCGCCATAGTTCTTCTACACTCATGAACACCAACAAAGTCATGAAATTGAAGTAAAGCAAATACGATCAATATAGTGACAATCTTGCCGATCTATTCACTAAAGCTTTACTATCATCAACGTTCAAGAAATTGATATATGACATTGGAATGCGTCGAGTTTGTGACAAATTCAAATGATTTCTAATCAAGGGGAGATTTTCATCAGGGGGAGTATCCACATCTAGATACAGGACATTTGAACGTTGTACTCTTTTTCCTTCATCTAAATTTTGTCCCATTGGATTTTCCTAACATGGTTTTAATGAGGCAACATTAGTGCATCTAATGCTATTATAAGATTCATCTGAATACGTACTCTTTTTCCTTCGTTAGGTTTTTTTCCACAAGGTTTCCCTAGCAAGGTTTTAACGAGACATATTATCTTAATATAATAGTCATCCAAGGGAGAGTGTTGTCAATATGTTGTATATAGATATGGATGAACTCTAGCTTACCAATTTAATAGGTGTTAGTATTTGACTATATAACTCTGTCCAAAGTTAATATTATCTTTGATGACCATTATGATTTGAGGCCTATGAAAGAAGGTTCTCACCACATTGAAAAATACAGAAGTTGAGAAGTTTATTCTCTAGCACATATATATTGTCTTTGTAAGTTTATATAATTCTCTTGCTTTCACAACAATTTTTTATTTGTTGACCTATTATTCTATGAATTGTTTGTACACTTAAGTTTTTATGATAGATTAAGGTGGTATTTAATAAAATTAAAAATTAAGTATTCAAAATTGAACACTAAATTTTAAATGATGAATGCTACTTGTTTTTTAGTCTAAAAATTATTTGTGATGATACTAGAAAATTGGCTAAGGTTGAGCTCGGGTTATGCAGCTCGGGCGTCTGAGCTCTAATTACATGGCTTATGATAAGAATGCGTAGGTCGGAGACCTCCATCTACAAGATCCTCGTGAGCACGATGATAGCGACAGCTGGCACCTATCAGAAGGCTGCGTATAAATCCCAATGGCCCAACATTCTGTCAAGTGAGCCACAACCGTCTTAGCACTATCCATGCTGATTAGGCAAAGAAAGCATCGGTTATGAAGAAATGACAAGGATCACGCAAGGCAATCAGGCAAGACATCTGAAGGTTATAAATAAGGATCAAATCCCTCACAATGTAACACAAACAATCTATCTGCAATATAACCCTGTGTAAATTTGCCTTTTGATTAATAGAAAATCTCCTAAGAGCAAAAGACTTCATTAGAGTGGATTAGTCGAACTTTCGAGTGGGTAAACTACTATAAACTCACTGTTCATCAAACTGTGACACAAAAGCCCCAAGAGCCTTGAAGCTGAAAACTGCATATTCCAGTGATTCCTAATCCTCTAGATAACACGCCCTTGCTCTGTTGTGTAGAACATTACCATCAATTTGGTATGTAATGAAATTTAAATATAGAATCAAATTCAATTTTTTGATAAGTATAAAGAGTAAAATTCTACAATTTATTGATTTTTTAATTTTTCCATTGCCCTTTACCACCCTCACTACCAATATCACCGCTATTTCAAAATCACCACCAAAACACATACACACACACACACACATTTTTGCCACTATCGTCGCCGCCACTCCATCACCTGCTCCACAATCCCACCACAACCATCCCACTGTCGCCACTACCATACTACCACTATGACCCGTTACAGCCGAACATTGTTACCACTACTGCCACCATCCCTTCACCACCATAATGCACATTCCACGATCATCACTTCAACCACCAACCTGACACCACCTCCATCACCTTGGTGTCACCACCCCTCCACCATCAATAACCATACCATCCCACCATCACTAACACTACCTTCGTCGATGCTTTCCATTTGCAAGACCTAAAACTTTATTCCTCAACCCTAATAACTATGTGAAATCAGTTAAACAGCCATAAATTAGCCAATGAACAAAAGAACAGTCATAAATGTCAACAATTTTCAACTATGCAAGCCGCAAGCCTATTTTCTCCATAGGCATCCATGTGAGAAGCACCCAAAGGAACCACCAATGGCCACCCATTAAGCCCTTGCATGAAGCCATACACATCCACTTCTACAAAGCAGCAACCAAAGAAGCCATTACCTGAATTTTCACCACCCTATCTCTCTTCTTCTTCCCCATTTCCAAACCCATTAAGCTTTTGCATGAAGCTATCCAAATTTGCAAAGCCACCACCTAAATTTGCACCACACCATTTCTCTTCTTCTCCCTTAACTGAAAACCCGTTTAGCTCTTGCATGAATTCATCCAAATCTTCTGAATTTGCACGACCACATATCTTTTCTTTGAGCATGAGGGCATCCACATCCAAACCTGTCAAGCTGCCTAGAAAGCAACCACCTGAATTTGCACCACTCCATATCTTTTCTTCTATCTTAATTCTCTCGTTAAACTCTGAGGGATGAAACCCAGAACGCAGGTCCATTTTTTGGTCACTGAATTCTTGTAAAACATGTTTTGCACTCCTTTTCTTGGGTGTCTTGCTCTCTTCTTAGTGCAACAATCTTCTTTGGGCTTTCCAGTGAGTCTCTGTACTAGTTCCCAGAAGTTTGATGCGTCTGTCTTGAAGATCTTCGGTGCAAATATGTGAATTATGTGAATCTTGGGCTTGACTTTGGATATTGTTTGTGAGTCCTTGTGCATGGCTAATGCTAATGTAGTAGTGTTTGGAACACAAGGTTGTTTCTTCATTATCCCCTCTATGGTATACATCAGGCTATGTGTGTGAGTGAAAATAGAGAGAAAGTAGAAGAGGGGTGTTGTTGTCGATTTATTTGTTTGGAACAAAAAGAGAAGGATACGCTTATAAACATGGGCGGAGCCGGCATATGCCCAGAGCCCACCCTCAAATTTTTTTCTTAAAATTACCAATATGTGTTTTAAGTATTTTTTTAATATTTTTAATTATGCCTATCTTATTTTGTTGGCACATCAATTAGTGTACACTTATATCAAATGAATATGAATTTTTTGAGATATTTTGGACAGGTTGTATACCTATCTAGATAAATTTTGAATATACTAGAATTATTTTATACTTTTTAAGACTAAAAAAGACATTATAGGCATATTCGCTAGTTTTCTTGTGATTTTGATATTTATTTTTGCTAATTGTGATAGAAATTATAGAGTGCATGTTGAACTGCATAATTGATCGAATGAGTTATGAATACCAAAGTGATAACATGATTGTGCACATAAAAAATAATAAAGTTGTTATGCAACGATTTCAAAGTACAAAAATTCATCTGAGTCAATTTTAAATTATTTTAATTAGCCTATATTTTGTATAAAATAAAATGTTGGCTTACGAAATTTTGGTATATTGGATTTAATGAACTTTTAAGTATTAAATAAGATGTAATTAAATATACAATTGTAAGAAAAAAAATTAGTTTGTTGAAATATTCGTGTCCACCCCAACACAATTTTTTGACTCTGCTCCTACTTATATAGACAAGGAATTAACATGTTAGCTCTAGAACAAAAGAGAAAAATTAATAAGAAAAACAAGCTATCTTTTGGGGCAAGGATTGGATCATGGATGAACCCTACTCTGAGATATTGGAGGAGGGGCCAATAAAATGGGCAATGCTATAGTCATAATTTGGGACCTAATGATGTGATTTTAATGTAACAATTAGATTAGTTGTGAGTTGTAATGTTAAATGGAGTTCACTATCAATCCAATAGTTAAATTGAATTAGGCTCTTAAATTAAGTTCAAATAACATTTTCCCAATAACATATAGAACTAAGTCAATGCTGAACACCCACTATACCTAGAGAGAGAGAGGGGGGGATTAACGCAATGAAAAAAAAGGACCATTTTTGTCATTTCTGCTACAATTACATGTATAATCTCTATCTCTGAAAAACAAATTCAATGTGATAATATATAGTCATCGAAACTTATTATCACCAATTAATAATAAATCAGACTAGTGAACCCAACTTAATCAAAAAAGCAATGTTAGTGAGACATAATTTGGAGATTTAATGATTGTCACTATTGGATTGTCAATCATTAAATCTCCAAATTATGTCTCTAATTAAATATATTGACGATATCACAAATCAATGATAATGTGATTATTTTTAAGAGGGAAAGATGACCACCCCTTCCTTTTTCACTTGCACCATAAATGTTTTAAATGTACAGTTTTTCACTTATAACCCCACTGTTGGCAGCTAATAAAATAGTGGGGTTATTAGGTTTTCGCGTTCTCATTTTAAAGGTGAGCAATTTTATTTGGTCTTTTTTCGACTTGGATCTTGAAGTTGTGCAATGTATTCATCCCATTCAATACGTCATCTATAATATATATCAATGGCAAGCAATATGTCGCTAGGTCGAGAGTTTAGAAATCAAAATCTCTTAAAATAGGAATAAAATTGCCTACCATGTATATCTCTCAAATACGTCTATAAGCATTAATTTTGTGTGTTGCGAACTTTATGAAAAAAAAAATTTGTGTGTTGCGTACCTTTTCTTGAGATAATGACAAGCGCTATCTCGCAAGTTTGAGAGTTCAAAAATCAACATCTCTTAAAATGAGAATAACACTATCTATCATGTATATCTCTCAAATCCTGCTGTAAACGGCAACTTTATGTGTTGTTGCCTATAATTTTTGTTTGATTTTATTTTATAAACATTGTGATTATCAAACCCAATAAGTAGTATTTCATAGTATTCTCTATTGATTAGCCATTGTTTTGTGAACAAAAAAAATACATGTACAATGTGGTTTCATCACCATTAATAATTGTTAGAAGAAGTGGTACTATGAAATACTTCCAAAAAAATTTGCTTCTTCTATAAATTTAAATCATTGTACTCAAAAATAGGTGGTGAGAACTACTAGGTATGAAAAAATTATTTGACCATTGAGCTTTGTAGTTAGCTCATTGGCTTCAAAAATTTTTATGTAATTGGAATATCTAGAGTCCCAAGCAAGAGAGCTAGATGCACCTTGTTAACTATGCATTCTCAATGAACTCCTCGTTCTAATCCGTATGTGCTTAGTGTTAGACCAAAATTAGTTTTTTAAGTGTAAAAACTAAATTTTTGGTTGACTTTGAGCTTAAATTAAAGTGGGACCCACCCATTGGTTATTTCAAATTATTTGTGTTTATGTCAAAGACACAAATAATGGATATGTCATTGTTGTTTGCCTATACGTGGATGATATGCATATTTTTGGTAGTAATAATAATATTATTACAATTACCAAGAAAATGTTATCCAATGTGTTTGACATGAAAGATTTTGGTATTGCAGATGTTATAATAGGAATTAAAATTTCTAGAACATCTGATGGACTTATATTGTCTCAATCACATTATATTGAAAAAATTATTGAGAAGTTCGACAAAAATGAAAGCATTATTGCTAGAACACCAATTGATATAAATCTTCATTTGTCTAAAAATACTGGTCAAAGCATATCACAATTGGAATACTCTTATGTCATTAGCAGTCTAATGTGTGTCATGAACTGCACTAGACCAGATATAGCATACTCAGTTAGTAAATTGAGTAGATATACGAGTAATCTAGGAGTAGACCATTGGAAGACAATTATCAAGGTTCTTAGATACTTAAGATATACCGTAAATTTTGGATTGCACTATACAAGATATCCAGCTGTACTTGAAGGGTATAGTGATGTAAACTGGATATCCGATATGAAGGATATAAAACTCACAAGTGATTATGTTTTTACACTTGATGGTGCAGTTGTATCTTGGAAATCCTCTAAGCAAATGCGTATTGCCAGATCCACAATAGAATCTAAATTTATTGATTTAGATAAAGCAAGAAAAGAAGTTGAGTGGCTTCACCAATTTCTAGAGGATATTCCAATATGGCCTAAACCTGTGCCAGTAATTTGTATATATTGCGATAGTCAATCTGCAATTGGTATGGCACAGAGTGACATGTATAATGGTAAGTCTAGACATATACGTCGTAGATATAATACCGTGAGACAATTGCTCTAAAATTGGATTATTTCTATTGATTATATAAAATCAAAGGATAATCTAGCGGATCCACTTACTAAAGGTTTGGTGAGAGAGCAAGTAAATTGTACATCGAAAGGAATGAGATTAAAGTCTATGACACAAGAGTCACATTAATGGCAACTCAACCTAGTTGACTAGAGATCCTAAGATCTAGGTTCAAAGGGACAATCGAATTATGCGTGATTTAAAAGAAGCACTAAGGAAATAATCTCTACTACCTATTCCTATGATAAACTAGTGTTGCCTGTAGAGTTTATTAGGGTAAATTATATTTTTAATGACTCTTATATCTTGGAAAATCCAAATAGGATATTGCAGGATATTTATAATATGAGTCACCTATATGAATGTGAAGGGGCCGCTCTATGAGAATTTGTAAATGCTGAATTCTCTAAAGTACTCATGAAAACCATGAGTTGTTCAGGGTCAAATGAACACAACCATGACAACCAATTGTGTTAGGAAAGAGACTATGTGAAGTCTATTCGATATAATTTATCAAACAGCTGAATAATTCAAAACATCACGTTCACTATTTAGCTGGTAAATCCGATGAGCTTTTACTAGGGAAGGTTCAAGGCCAAAAACTACATATCTCGATGCACGATTTTTTCAAAAATGTACTCTCTATAGTGTGTCAACATTATCATTTGCATACTATCAGCCAAGTTTTCATTCATGTGGGGGATTATTAGACCAAAATCAGTTTTTTAAGTGTAAAAATTAAATTTTTGATCGACTTTGAGTTTAAATTAAAGTGGGACCCGTTAATTATTTCAAATAAATTTTTGTGGGTTCATATTCAACTATATGAAAAGAATAATGCAATATATTCATTTGCTCAAATCGAGTAAAAAATGAATGAGAAAATAGACTCCGAAGTGACCCTCTTGAAGTGTGAAAATAAAGAATGTTCCACATTGAAATTTGACACCAATTTCACATTAGTTGAGAAAGAAATTTAACATGGGCATATATAGGCCAAGTTTGCTCTATGAGATTGGGCCCCAAGGGGTATCACAGTTTTATGAGCAGAGCGAGCGCCTATGCCTTCGGTTTGACCGGCCGGGCTCGGGTGTGAGTGTGATCAAGCCCTATCTTTTTGAAAAAAATTCTTTTAATTAATGAGCGTGAATTTCTTAACTCGAAATTTAATTTTCGATATCCATTGGATATAAATTCGGATGTGTTGCTTAACTCCAGTCCGAATTAAGTTGTGTCTGTTCATACAAAACAGTTACACAAGTGGTGTCTACTGATTATGAGTTGTGTCTTTTAGTTTGGTGAATGTCTGAAAAGTCATCAAAGTGTCTATAAATACTCAGACTAATTACCATTTTGCATTCGTTACATTAATCAGTCCATATACAGAGTTAAGTCAAACATTAGTGCATAACATTTTTGGCATTAAAACAGTCTACATTTGGTGAGTACACAACACAATATTTGTATGTTGGACGAGTAGATTGAAGTGCTACTTCGGCTCGTGTAAAAATTATTATATCCTGGGAGGCAGACGTTCAGTATTTCATAAGCACCGTATGTGAGGGCAAAATTTGTCTTAAGGACATAGTGTCAAACACTAGTCTTGATTTATCTAAAGTTCAATAACAATTTCTATTTTGCGACCGAGTTAGTATTTATATTATTTAAACAAACAGTTACGTGTAACTGTTTGTTATT